TACCAACAAAAGCGTCACTTCTGAGAAAATTAAAGTATATTATGAATTAAAAATTATTATCTTTATTTGAGTATTTATAGTGAGTTTTACTCAGGGATTTGAAATTAAAATTCTTACAGCTCATCAATTGGATTCTTAAACTCACACTCACACTCAAACGCACAAAATGTATATTAAAAAGCCAATGGCTGATCGTATTCATTTTTTTAATTTAATCCAAACACGACTCATATTGTTCTCCATTGTCGGCGAAATATCATTGATCGATATCGTGTTCCATTATAATGTCAAATGTTAAAGACCTATAAAATATAACAACAATAACATTTATGTGATAGCTATTTACAAAAAATATACCACAACCGAGACTAGAACCACTGATGGCAGCAAAACGCTAGGAGCAATTTAAAATTGACTGGGAAATGTATAAATTGCTGAATTTCATATTTATATGGTTATGCAATTTTGAATACTGCCTGTTTAAATCTTTACGTACAAAGTGTAAATAAATTGTTTATGAATCAAAATTAGGAAGCCTAAGCAAAAATCATTACATTATTATTGTTTATTATATATTTTTTGTAAAAACTGCAATCACCAGGAATGTACAAAGCTGCTTGCGTAAACAGACATCTCAAAATTGATGAAAACTCACTTTAACAAAGACAAAAATTGCAGCAACTATATATAGCTGAGTACAGGCCATGATCAATAAATTTCAGTATAAACTTATTTGATATGAATAGTCATTTTCTACCCCACACCTAAAATATCACGTCAGCTTAATTAAACACTGTGACGTTTTACTTCAAACGTTTCCGATACTTTAGTCATACGTGGGAGGCTATCAGATATTTAAAACACCGATGACATTTTGACGTATATCAATTCTGATTCTACATGTGTTCTGCATGTATTCTATTACGTCATTCCGTGAATATTCTTGTTGTGCGGTCGTAGAAAAGGTACACGATATAGTATAGTGAAATAGAAGTTCCACCTTACAGTGTTGGCTTGGAGTTGAGAGAGTGTTAATTATATTAAATTATTTTGAATCTGGCATAGTTAGTTTTTCTAATAGGCCTACACATGTTCTGATCATTTGACGCGTAGATATCTGTCATCTTTTTTATCGAAATAAATCTAAGGAACATAAAGTATTGTTCAAAGTAACGGCTTTGGTATATTTCAGCAAACGTTCTTCTTCTCAAATCTTACTTAAAATTTCATCTTCTCGACACCCGGTTCTAAACTTTATGCAAATTCGAATAGAAACGCATCGCTTAAATATTCGAGGTTCATAAATTAGGCACACAAATTTTGACAACAGTGTGAATTCAGTGAGACGCCAACATGTGGCCATTTTAAATTAGTTTGAAAGCTTAATGACTTTTAAACAGTAAAATCAAGATGAAAAATGGCAGGGGCTTTATATTTCAAAATTTAAGTTATACACAAGGGGTCAATTTTGTTAGAAACCGATATTTTTTGTTTACAAATAATAAAATTCGGCGGCATTTTAAGTCTATTTTACTGGGTCACAATTGGTTTTCGTATATCAAATTAAGAATCAAAATAAACACAGAAAATCCATGAATATTCATAAATTAAACACGCGAATAGGGATAAAACGTTTATTTGTAAATATAAGTTTATTAATGAATTCATACAATAACGTGACCGAATAATCATTTTATAATTGGACGAAACTGTTTCGGTTCTGGCGATATTTAGCAGAATATTTGTATGCTTTTGAGGTAAATTTATGTAAATTATTATTATTATCGAATTATAATTATTGCGAACCGAATAAGGTAAACGTTCGAGCAAAATTTGGTCTTCCCGTCTTTTAGCCTATGACTTATACATTGATAATGTTGACATTCTGCTCTTCGCTGTCTCGTTCACCTATTCAGGGTAAACTGCATTCTTCTGTGGTGGGAGTTCTATTTAAATTATTTATTGCCAGTTAAAATTTTGACAGTCAGACAGTCTGAATATCTAGAAGATTGACTATCTTATTAATTATGCACCTTTTTAAATAGTTAAAACAATGTTTCTGTAGCTAATTCATAATCAATCAGTAATAAGCTCACGCTCTGTCAAATCCCGAATCAGCAGCCATTGGGTCTCGACCTTCCTCTGGTTTACAGCTTCGATGTCTGACCTGACTGTCTGACAATATGCAATAGAAACTATGCAATAACAATAGACAATAGAAACAACAACTAAATTTATTATTTTCTCAGTCGAATAGTCAAGATGGTCGTTTGACATGGTTCATTTTAATTTACCAATAATAATAATACAGTAAAAACTCTTAATACGGACACCTCTTTAAACGGACATGATGTTTGGGACGAAACATTTGCCTACCCTTTTACCTGTAAAACAAACTTCTTTAACCGGACACTCCATTAAACGGACGTAGACAACACTGTCCTGACTTAAAAAAAATACCTCTTCTAAATATCGGGGAATGTTTTCTAATCCTATAGGAGAATTACCTTTTTCATTTTTCATATCATATCGTATTATTCATTACACCGTTTTTAAAATGGCACCTACTAAAAGACTTCTTACTTTGCGAGAAAAAAATAGAAATTTTAAAGTTTCGGAAAAGGAAAATTTGTCAGTGCGGAAAAACTCAAGCGGCGGAAATTGTGAAAATAAGGACAGCATTCGTGTATAGTAAGAGTCGGGAAGCAATATTGATCAAAAAAGAAATTTTGAAAAACTGAGGGATTTCACATTGACAAAGTGTGTTTTAATTGGTTTTCCCGGTTGAGAGGTCAAAACATAACAATATTGGGGCACTTAGTGAAGGCCAAGCTCAACAAATAGCCGAAAAACTTAATGTTCGAAAGTTTACAGCTTCCAATGGATGGCTGGAAAAGTGGCGCACGAGACATGCGATAAGTTTTAAGTTTTAGAGAATCAGCAGATTTAAGTCAGGAAGACGTAAATCAGTTTAAAGTTAAGTTGCCCACACTACTCCTCGCATATACGCCACACGCCAAACACTTGCTTTGAAATCCGAAGAAAGCTTTCCAAGGAGAGGCTTACAATTTTATTTTGTGCTAATATGGCAGGACAAAATGAAGAAGAGTGAAAGGCTGCCCGACCTAGGGCATTTAAAAATATGGAAATTTAACAATAAAGCATGAATGACACGAGACATTATGAATAAATGGTTGTTACAATTTGATAGAAAAATGGCCCTACAAAGCGAAAAATGTTATTATTCTTGGATAATGCAGCATTGCACCCCCGTGAGGTAAAATTACAAAACATAAAAATTATCTTCTTGCCTCCAAATACGACATCAGTATGTCAACCTCTAGATCAGGGTGTCAAAAAAAATGTTAAATTCTCATTCTCAGCGTGGACTCATCATGTAATGTCCGCGTCAGATTTAGCAAAGTCTGTTAATATTTTGGAAGCACTTTATTAAGTGAGCCTGGAATAAAGTTTTGTCAGAAACCATCCAAAATTGTTTCAATAAAGCTGGCTTTAAAAAAAAAAGATTTTTCTACATCAATGGAATAGGATCCAGAAGATAATATCTACGATACTTGAAATGGAACGACAATATTACAGCGACTGAGGGGACTAGTTTGAATGTTGAAGATGTAATTGAAAATATGAAAGAACCTGAACCGGAAGAAAACAGCGATCAAGAATATAATAGTGGAGAACCTAGCACAATTAACAGCTATAAAAATAATTACCGATCTGAAAGTTTTTGCTAAAGAGGACTACATTTTAACACCTTAAAAATTTAGAAGGTCATTTTCAGTCAAGTTTATTAAATCAAAAAACAATAAATATCCGTACCATAGAGTTCGTAAATAAATAATTAAAGTTCATTCACCTACATTTTTCTCTATAATTTTTTGTATGTTTTAAGGAAATAGACGTAATACATATTTACGATTAATGTTGTTTTTTTTTCATGCACCTCTAATGAGGGGACACCTCTAATAAGCGGATAAAACTAGAGGAACGGCGAGTGTCCGGTTATGGGAGTCTTCACTGTAATAATAATATTTATTTTCACCTTTTCCATCCTGCAATCTTATCTACAACTCTTATTAAATTAAATACTATATTAAGTAACACATTAAAAACTCACATTACAATAATTAGGGTTTACAATCCCATATTCATATGACAATATTAACCTAAATTAAACTTGACATAATCGTGGATAATTTTTCGAGGTTACAAGTATCCAAATCTTACATTGTTAAATCTATGGTTAGGGTTATATGATTGCAGATATTCCGGTAACATGGAAAATATCCTTGGCGGGATATAATCAAATGACCGTTGTCCTAATCGATTTCGAGCTTTTACTGTTTTTACCTTTCTTTGTTTTTTCTGATGTGTTTCATGGTGGTAATTATTTATAAGTGGTTTTAAGTGGCTCTTATATAAACAGCCAATAAATTGCAACTATAAGCAAGAAAACCATGCACTTTTGCAGAACTTCTACTCAAGACTACGACTTATAGACCCTAAGGTTTATTAAGTAATATACCAAAGCACTTGCGTTTTTGATACAGAGACTGATGTTCGGTAAGTGAGCTAGATACCCGTTTTTAACCGGAAAGAAGGGTGGTCATCGATCGCAATTCGATTTCTTAAGAGCTTGTCTTAAACCGTTTTCTCTCGGGATATTTTTAAAGTACTCTAAATGATCTCGAGTCTGAAGTACGGTGTAAGAGGTCAGTTACGCAGCTCCGAGCCAGAAAACTAAGGTTATTTATTATATTTTTAAGAATGCCTCATTCACCTATTTTTTCGTCCGAGGATAAATATACTTTTTAAACTACAAGAGAAATGATTTCAATAACTAATATAACATTTTTCTTTGGTTTACTTTACAAGTAGTAGAGTGTTCTTTGGAGCCAAAATTATCAACCGACCACGATTATTATCACATCACAGTGAGCAAACAGTTGTTGTAAACAGTTTGTTCGAAAATAATAACATACCTGGCAGATTCTCTCGAATCGGTAAGCCCAAAAAGCACCAATCACAATATCGCCGAACGTCAAGACGAGCAAAAGCAACCAATACGCATTTAAAAGCTTCTCCGACAATCTAAGGGCCGCCATACATCCTAACAGTTGCAGAGCGCCGCCTTGCGTCGCTATAGCGAGGTAAGCGTATAGGAATGACGGCTGGTAAAGGGTTAATGATGGCACGAGAGATCTGAAAAAAAATCAAATTAACAATATAAGTGGTGCAACAACCCAACGTTCTTAAAAGGCTAAACATCTGATATCTACTACATAATACTCTAAGAATAAGTCAGCGTCTTAAGTTTTTTTTGGTCATTTTTAAATATTTACAATGAGTAGATAAGCTACTCATAAATTCCTATATGAAAATTTAACATCTGAGATAAGTTTTACTTATTTATTTAGAATAAGTAAAGCGAAAAAGTCAATTTGTAATACATTTGGTTAGTTTTGGTTGTTTTTCTAGAACCAACTACTAACAAAGTGGGTTGAATTTGCAAATACTAAGTGTCGATGCAATCGCTGGAGCGTAAAATGTCTAGGGACTATCGGTAAAGATATCGAAAACATTCACGAAAACCGTCATCAGGTTTTCCACCTTTGAAATTCTGATCAAATAACAGGAAAAATAATATAGGAATAGGAAGACAAAGATTATAGAACAAAAATTTGGGAACGAATCATCTAAAAACTAACGACAACGTTAACATTAACTCTATACCTATTTAATGGCTTCAGTGTATTTAAAGACTTTTATCACTGGGACTTATACTTTTCAAATTATTATTCTACATAAATTATAAGTAAAATCAAAATGATAGTTGTTACATTTAATGGGGAAAATCTAACAAGCTTCCCATGGTATGCAATTTACACCCACCTGATCTTTTTTGGTAATAGATTTTTTGTATCTAATAACGCGAGATACCATTTTTGTGTTGCAATTATTGTTACGTTGGCCAACCATTATTTCTATTAGTGACATCATAGCTTAATATACATTATAATAGTGGACTTGATAGGTACATATTTCCAAATAAATGCAGTCATAATTTTGAAATCAATAGAACTAATGAGATGAGCTAACATTTTTTTCTTGCATATTTTATATACATACTTAAAAAAAAAATTAAAAATATTGCCAACAATTTTTCAACAATTTTGTAAATTAATTAATAATTTATTTTTAAACGCAAATTAGGGAAAAGAATTTAAAAAGGCGGGTTTAAGATTTAAGAATAAAATTTAGAGATATTTTTGTTCATATTATCTTATCTAACTTAGGAATATTTGTTGTTAGTTTTTAACACAATAAGAAAGAAAACAATAAAACAAAAGTTACTTTTATTTCATCTTGACAGGATGGAATAATGTTTTATTCCCTATTTCTTCGTATTCTGCACATACTTGTCCTAAAAGTTCTTTTAATATTGCGATGCTGAAAATGCTTTCCTCTTTTTTTTTCACCTTGCGACAAAAAGTAATTACCGGATCAGATAAGACAAGCAGTCAGCTTATGCTGTCCGTATTGGTGTTAATTCTTGATGTCTTTCTAGCATGAAAAAGTCGTAAGTTTTTGTAACTCTTATGACTGGCCTCTAACACATCTTAAGATAATTGGCCAATAGAGGAAGATCACTTCCACAGAGCAACAGCTTACGTACTGTAGCACTCATTTTGTACCAACCATATAGCTGTATTTGAGCGCTCTGAAGACAACATATCTTAAATTTGTTTTCATTAATATAGTAACCACTGTCAAAATATTTGCAAACCTGGAAATTAAATCTTGATTGATACCAGTTATTTCCGACATTAACGCTGAATTATCAAACAATTTACGGGCCGTGTTCGATTCGCGATTGTTGCTTCCCCCCTGTTTTGGTTGGTCTACAACCAGAACCATTTCCGTGTAAAATTTAGAGGCAATAGATTTTTTTCATATTTTTTACACATTCTCTTGCCTCTTGGCTTCTTGCCTGCCATTCTTTGTTGTCCATTTCCAACATAGATGTTCCAAATTTATATGTAGAAGAGTCGCACGCTGCCGCTGTACTTATCATTTTTTCTATGTCATTAAAGTCTTTGGGGATGGCCTTGCATACGTTACACGCTTTCGATGAGGCCGTGTTGGAAAGCACATTAGATGTTTTTCCATCCATCATGGTGAAGACCACAAAAAATTTAATTTTAATTAAATCTAGTTGGAGATGGACTCGAGTCCTTTGTTTTTGTTTTTCATCTCTGGATTGAATTGATGTTTCTGGAGGTTCAATTATACACAACATAATGTTAGCGTCACCATATTTCGAGTGGTTGGCAAAGTTTTGCTTGTAAACGCTGTGGCCACCGGTATCGTCAAGACTTCATTTATTTATGTTTATGATTTCATCTGGAACATTCTACAACAACACTTCGGATTGAATATGTGCTACCCGACTTATAGTTAAATCCAACAGGTTTTGCAATGGTGTCGTAGCTTCTGCCTCAGTTATAAGCACTTCTGCTTGTCCGGCAGGATCCCTGATATCCTGCTGGGCCGGCTGGAGAGGTTGGGTTTGCACGACGACCCCCAGCTTGCTGCCGCCCTCCGGTCCGACTACGTGGTCGCCGTTAGGGCACGGTTGGCGGACAGCATTCGGTCATTTGGCCGTGGGGCTGCGCAGAGGGCTTACTGGGGGCAGCGCCTTGATGGCTCGTTCAGTGGTGCTGGTCTCAGCGGCCACTGTGCGAATGCGGCGGCCAGCCAGTGGATCAGGGACCCCCCACAGGGGTGGTCCGGTGAAGACCACGTCCGCGCGGTGCAGGTCCGGACCAACACCTTGCCCACCGTTGGCGGGCTCCATAATACCCGCCTCCCGGCCCCTGCGCGGATGTGCAGGGCCGGATGCCGCCGTGTGGTAACTCTTTCCCATGTCCTCCAGCGGTGTCCGGTGACGCACCACCAGCGCATCAAGCGACACGACCTGGCGGTTAACATCTTCGCAAAGGCGTGTCGCTCCAGGGGCACTTTTTTTTTTTTCACTTAAACAATAATAGGGTATAAAGGATAGATAGTAGCTCCCTTTCTTGCTGCTCCTCTTTGAAGTGTTTTATAGCCGTCTTTAGTTAAACCCACGTCTACCATAAGACCAAGAGTATAGAGGATAGATAGTAGCTCCCTTTCTTGCTGCTCCTCTTTGAAGTGTTTTATAGTCATCTTTAGTTAAACCCAAGTCTATCATAAGACCAAGAGCTTCTTCCAGGGTATAAATTTCCATAGTAGAGGTTGAAAATGAAGCATGGGCCCGTTCTATTTTTTTAAAGTCTTTGTGTTGTTGTTGATATTGCAAAATTTACCACTTTTGCCGTAGTTCGATTACCACTTTTTACTAAGGTAGATTCTACTAAATTGTTACTTTTCATAAATCTTTTTTCAATTTGATGGCTTTGTTTCCATTTTATTAAAAGTTTAGACATAAACAATTTTATCACGTCTACTAGCCACTTCTCTGATTTTTTGGGAAGTTTATCTATCTTAATCTGTCCTTAATATAACTGACTAAATTTTTATTGCACTGCGATGACGATTGTTTATAAAAATTAACACCCTTTGAACTTTTAAATAGTTCTTTGCTGATTACACTGATATTCTTCAAACAGATGCAGATATATTAAAAAGGAATGATTTGGGATAACTAGATTTTGAGAAATAGAGCAATAACACAAACTAAAAAAAAAAAGGTGGTACTAAGCGAAACTTTTTTTAAAATTTTAACTTAAAATGACGTTTTTACAAAATGGTTTAGTTTGGATCGAAAAATGTAGTTCTATCGTTCTAAAGAACCCATTTTGCTTATATATTATTACATAAACCAGCAATAAAATTAATTAATTAGTGTGAAATTTATTCATAAAACAAATTGCCCTTCTGACATTTTTAAAACGTCTTTTGGCAACATCTGAAACTCCGTGACCCAAATATGAGGATCGGCTGGCATTTGTTTGCGTACCCTGCCCGTCATTTGTCTGTGTGTTGACCTATGTCAATAACATCGTTACCCACGATTTGCCTTCCCGAATTCCCCCGTGTCCTTTAATTTTAGTTTCTTAGTAATAATTTAGTACGCATGCCACACCGGATAAACACACATTGTCTTGTAATGTGGAACTATTGGCTCAAAGGTAAACGCATGGTGTCTTGTGAGTTTATAACCGCTATCTGGAAACCTAGCAACATAAGTAAAAACAAACATTCTGCTCGTCAAGGAAGTAAATCGGAAACCATATGTAGGTATTCTATACAAACTTGGGAGTGAAATTCTCGTTCTTTTTACTTAAAAATAAACCCAACAATAAACAAAGAACTGATATTGTTATACCATGACCAGAAATATAGTGCTTTTACAACCGACCCCGTCTGTCTACTCTTTATTACTCCAAAACCGCAGTCCCTTCTAGAACACCCTGTTGAACAGACCCTTGCACATAACCATTCCTAGGAATTTATCTACCCACACTTCTTGAAACGTGTACATAAAAAATTAGTACATTTTTACATAGTATCATTATCATTATTATTATTATTATTATTATTATTATTATTATTATTATTATTATTATAACAATAATAAAGTATCAGTCACTTAAAAAATCGCCACTATCGCTAATGATAAACTCCGCCACTAATCGTTCTCGATAAATATTTTCTACTTGTATTATTCGTTTTTCACCGTGAGACGAGCTTTGTACTGTTATTTTAGCTACCTCTTGCCGAATTACGTGTATGGTATAATATATAGATATAAAAAAGTGACCAATTGCTTTTGAATGGGATTATCCAAGGGGGGTCATTAATATATAATGCAATTCAAAGATTATTACTAAAGTTTCGTAATTTAAATTCAGGTAAAATTGTGGTCCGTAATAGAAAATTATTTTATACCTACCTGTGTTTAATATTCTTTGGTTTAGTATACTACTCAGTTTAAGTTTATTAGTTCATTCTTATTTCGTGTGTTGAATCGTGTGCGAATTATGCAAAATATGTGCGAGTCTAGTGTAGCTCAGGAGATGCTCCAGCCCAAATGTAGAAAACAGAGATTAAGACTAAGGAAGTTATAAACCATGTTTATTTGATTCTCATTGAACGTGGTGCCAGCAAGCAAGCATCTTCAGAAGAAACGGCCACATTGAAGAAAATTCCAACAT